GGTCTCTTTTTTCTACCCCTCATACACAGATCACCGTAAATGTCTACCCCGAATTCCCTTTCCATGTCCGGGTCTGAAATAGCCTTGGAAGCAAACCTTCTTCCCCCTTTTTCATCCTTGAACCAGATTGTAAACCCCCCTTTTTCAGACCACCTATGAAGTCTCTTGAGACTCTTACGTTCCACCCACTCATGGTCAAACTCACTATACCTCATCGAGTCCCCATCACATGAATGTGGTAAGTGCCCAAATGCTTCCCTGATTCACTTTTTTGTATTTGCATTATCATCATAATTAAACAATTCCGTAAAATTGAAGGAATTTAAATGAGATACCGGAGTATTAGGAGGGTCAAACTCCGTGAGAGGGAGATTCGACATTTCGGCTAACTCCGTCGATGATAACCTTAGGAATGGTGTTGTTGCTGCTCTAGCATTCCTTTGCAATCCCTAGATTTCAGACCTACGTTCATTCCAGATCCCCAAAGATAGGATAGTGCTTGCCTCAATGATACTAGCATACTCCTCATCTACAAGTCGTTCCTCCTCCTCAATTCGCCTAGTTGCCATAATAGCTGGGCTTTCCAACCAACCCCTCGAGTTATCAACCTATCGTGAACCCGTAGCCATGCCTATTCCTTCCGAGAAACCATTACTCATAGCAACGCTTCTTCCAAAATCAGGAGGCAAAGCAGCCCACTCAGAATTACCCAAAGTGTGGAAGATGGTGTCTGGCCCCCCTCCCTGTAGTTGAGGGTACCGAGCAGAAGAAGGTTCGCCCACTTCGAACGTTGAACCCATGAAAAAAGGCCTGGTTGAAAGGCCTTCAATGCTGTTTCCGTGCACCCTAGGGCCCCTTCCTACTATGGACCTGTTCAAGCCTAAGCCCAAACTTCCCATTGGTCCTTCATGTCGCGCAATATTCTCCTGATATTCCTAAGCAGAAAACCGAGTAGACATTTCATTACTCGTATCCAGCGTGGTGTTTGACAGCCCCTGTTGAACAAAATCGGCATACGGGTCTCCACTTAAGCCTAGACGCCTGCTTGGGGATAGCGCTAGGTCCGACCTTCCTTGTTCCTCCTCCCTTTCAATTAGCGCGGAGTCATCGTTTGACCATTCTTCCTCCCCCGTATGGTAATGCTCACTCTCATCGCTGCCCTGAGAAGATAATGAGTCCTCATACGGGTGGCCCTCTTCAAAACCCCTCTCATCTCTTCGACCTCTCCCATACAAAGGAGAATCGTCTGTGTTCTCAACAGGCTGTAGATCAAGCCTTGAGTTTTGAAACCAGTACCAATCCGGTAATCCTCAAATGAGATTTGAATAGAAGGGATATTCATCAGGCCCATACAACACTTTGAGCCCATCCGCCTCCACCTCATTCAACCGACGTTGTACACGCCTCCTTGTCATTGTTGCATGTAGCGTACAGCGGGATGTGGAGTGCCTTGCGCACCCACATGATTTACAGAATTTATAAATCCCTCCATACCTTAGGTATACCCAAATCACCCTATTCCCTTCTAAAGGGATAAAACACCCAGGGATTAAGGGAATAGATAGATCAATAAGAACTCGTTCCCTAAGATCAACGTGAATTAGTAGGTCATCCCCTTCATGTTCTAGTTCTTCAACATACCCTACATGCCGTAGTATTTGCCTTGCCCAACTTGGTCTGAGGTAGGCTAGTAGCAGCCCATACACCCTCACCCACACGCTTGTGAGAGTAAAGTTCATATGGAGAGGTACGAAATCAACTTGGTACCTCCTGATGTTTATAATTCTACCATCTATGATAGATGTACTTACATGAACCAGGCCCTCTAGATCCCGGTTATCCCTGCATTCGAACAAGAAATAAGGCCCCGCCCTATGCACTCTTATCTTCCCCCTCCGTATCCAACGAGAAGTCACAATATGCTGAACAAAGTGCTCGGACGGAGGGTGAGGCCCAATAAATAAGCCTATAGCACACGAATTGAAATTGATAGTTATATTTCCAATATTGAAGTTCTCTAGAGGGGGAATGAGAGGTCCCCCTCGCATATTTTGACCTTGAAGATCAGGCGGAGCATTAGGAATGTTCCTAAGATTGCTCATGTTAAAAGACAAAAGGAATTTAGCTAAAGACCAGTGAAAATTTAAGAAAAATGGGAAAGCAAAGGACTGACTTAGAAAGAATTAAGAGGAAAAAACAAGAGAATAGAATAAGAAGAGTTAAGATGAATGAATATCCTCTGGCTATAGCTTATTGCATTTATAGCCAAACTCAAGTTATTGAGAGCCGAAACACCATACGCATGGGGTGCAAAAGGCTAGAGAAATTAAATCCCTAAGAGTGTAGCTGCCTCTAGCTATAAAATGCCTACACCATTGAAAGAAGAGCAATTACTGCTCGAAGCTAATTGGGTGTGTTAAACGAAAAAGGAAGCTTTAGTCTTCTTGGAACAGGCCAACAATCTTGAAAGTGTAAGACCTTTTACTTGAAACTAGGAAATATCCAGAATCAAGGAGGTTAGGGACTTGGAAAAAGAGAAAGAAGGGTAGGAAACCCACAGACACAAGCAACTATAGATATTCCTCCCACCTAAGGTGCCTAAGAGGATATGCATGCAACTTAGGAAATGAAAAGGATTGCTGAAGAACACTAAGAACCCTAGCAAGGATAGCGAGACTCACTCTTTTAGTGAGATAAGCTCTCGTTCGAGAGAGAGAAAATTTACGCGATATATTTTTTTGTGGAACAATACTGATTGATTATTGTTTTAGGGTTTGCTAATATGTGTGAGTAGTTTTTATATTCCAAGATCTAGGGTAGCCCAATTGTGATTGATGCATGAATTGATTCTTTAAATTCTCTAATGACAATTGTGATTATTTATGCTAATTTGATTGTGATTATGCCAATACTAGATTTAGAGATAATTAGTATTGTTATTATTCCATAGTATTAATTACAACGAGAGTTGGGTTTTAACGGATTTGAGTAAATCAATTTAGGAATTGAGATTCATCACGAGAGTAGTTGAATTGATAATTGGGAAGCAAAGTAAAGTGTTTAATGTCTCTAATTTGCATGATTCCATGAGAATAGGCTTGATTGTGGTTAGATAAGTCATTGATATTCGAGAGAGGTCCTTGGTATTGATTAGGATTTGCTTTTTCCCATGTTAATTGGATTTGTATGATAGGGGTAGATAGATCATCGATGGTAATTGTGGCGATACTTGATCTTGGATATTTTAGTTTATTGATTCATTATATTCTTTAGATTAGTTTAGTTCTTCATACATTAGTTTCTAGTACCATTCACCATTGATTTGATACTTGCTTAGTGATTATTTGAGTCTAATTAATTCGATGAACCTTAGTCTCTTGGGATTTGATCATTACTTGCCCGTCTACATAGTAGTGGTCTCGTTAGGTTTATTTTTGTTAGGTACGCGACATGCCTACCAATTTTTGGCGCCGTTGCCGAGGAATAATGGTTTCATTTGATTACTTGTGATTCGTTTTTGCTAAGCTTTATTCGTTGCTTCGGCTATTGTTTCTTGTGTTTTTGATACTCTGCTTTTAGTTCCTTGTTGCATGTAAACACGAGGTTCAGGGTCAGACGATTTACCACCTTTTGATTCTGAAATCGAAGCAACTATAAGGAGACGACGAGGTAGAAGAAGAAGGAGAAATCAAAACAATAGGAACATGGAAGACGGCACGAAATCTCTTTTGGAGTACGGTATTCCTAATACGACAATCGGACTCCTCTCAAGCATTGTCAGACCACCTGTCACTGCTCAGCACTTTGAATTGAAACCACAGTTCATTCAATTCATCTCCAATGACTCATTTGCAGGCACACCACATGATTTTGCCCTGTAAGTCATATGATAGATTTCTGGAGAAATGTGATACTATGAAAATGAATGGTGTTACAGATGATGCTATCAGACTTCACCTTTTCCCTTTCTCACTACGGGATAGGGCAAAAGAATGGTTGATAGATGAAGGCACTGGCTCGTTTGAAACATGGGATAAGCAAGTGAAAGCTTTCCTGGTAAAGTTCTTGGGACAGGAGAAGACTGCAAGGTTAAGGAACAAACTATCCACTTTCAGGCAGTTAGATGATGAGTCCCTTTATGAGGCATGGAGGAGATTTAAGCGATTGTAGAGGAAATGCCCCCACCATGGTATTCCTGAATGGATGTTGATTCAAACCTTCTATAATGGTTTAACCCATGAGTTCCAAATCTACATTGGTGCTGCATCGGGGGGTTCTCTCCTGAAAAAGAACCCAACTGAGGCAAAGGAGCTGATTGAGAAGATGGCAGCCAATGATAATTATCATCCAGGAGGCCGACATAATGTGAAGAAGGGAGGTAAATTAGATGTTGATGCTCTAACTCTTTTGACTAGTTTTGTGCAGGCATTGACAAGTAAGTTTGATAGACTCCAAGCTGGAACATCTGCTAGCTTACCTGAGACTTGTCAAATGTGTAATGTGCAAGGTCACATTGCACCCAATTGCCCACAAAATTCAAATGACATGTCGATTGAAGAAGCCAATGCATTCTACACTTCCAACTCCAAAAGGCCATATGACCCCCATTCTAACACATATAATGAAGGTTGGAAGAATCACCCAAATTTTTCCTACAAGAATACCCAAGCCCAACAAAATCCACCTCCACCACCACCTCGAAACAACAACTACAATGCATCACCTGGTTTCTAACCAAGGCAGCCTCCAGGCCAACAACCTATTCAACCACCTCCTCAAAAGTCCAACCTTGAAATATTGTTGGAAAACTTTATCACCACAACCAACAATTCCATCTAACAACAAAATAGTTCTATACAACAGTTACAAGCCCAGAGTAAGCTCATGGAAAATCAGATAAGCCAACTTGCTCATCAAGTTGGCCAATATTTAAAGACACCGGGCAGTTTTCTGGGTCAGACAAAGCAACCATAAAAAGGCATATGAATTTTGTTACTTTGATGAGTGGGAAGCAATTGGAAGATCCTCCTACCAAGGAGCCATCAAGGGAGGTCATTGAAGAAGTAGGTGACGGTGAGAAGGTGATTGATAGTGCTAAGGTCGAGGAAGAGTCAAGGGAAGCAACTCCAAAACCTCTTGCTCCGTATGTACCTAAGGTTCCTTTTCCGCAAAGGTTACCCCAGGCTAAGCTTGAGAAAAAGTACGGTAAATTTCTTGATATCTTGAAAAAGCTTCATATTAATATTCCGTTCTTAGATGCTATATCCGAGATGCCTTCTTATGCTAAATTTTTAAAGATTATGCTTTCTAACAAGAAAAAGCTAGAAGAGAATGCTACAGCTGCTTTGAATGCAGAGTGTAGTGCTATTTTACAGAATACTCTCCCTAAGAAATTAGGTGATCCAGGTACCTATTCAATTCCAGTGAAGCTTGGAGATATTGAAATTAAAAGGGCACTATGCGATCTTGGTGCAAGTGTGAGTCTTATGCCACTGTCCATCTGTAAGAAGCTGCAAATGGGTGAACTCAAACCCACACGCATATCCTTGCAACTTGCAGACAGGTCAGTCAAATTTCCTTTGGGTGTACTTGAGGATGTACCTCTTCGTGTAGGTAAGTTTTTCATTCCTTGCGATTTTGTTGTGATGGAAATGGAGGAAGATGCAAATGTTCCAATTATTCTTGGTAGACCTTTCTTAGCTACTGCAGGTGCAATTATAGACATGAAAAATGGTAAGGTCACCTTTGAGGTTGGTGATGAAAAATTGAAATACTCACTTTTGAATGCTATGGGTACTCCCTCTATGGGAGAAACTGTTTGTCAGGTCAATGTGCTTGATGAGTTGCAGAGTGAGCAACTTCCTTTGAGTAAAACAGATGATGCACTTGAACAAGTGCTAGTCGGGAAGGATGATGATGGAGATTAGGAATCAAGAGTATGTCAGGCTACTTGAAGAAGCAAAGGTCAACCCAATCACTAATCCAAGCAGAGAAGTATATCAGAGAAGTATGTCAAAGAAGTATGTCAGAGAAGTACTTAGTGCAGTGAGTGTTGGGGAGAGTACTACGCCTCCCGAGGTAGAGTTGAAACCTCTTCCCACTAATATGAAATATGCATATCTTGGTCCTAATAATTCATACCCTGTTATTGTTAATACTGAACTCAAGGACACAAAATTGGAGCAATGGCTCACTGTTTTAAGAAATTATAAAAGTGTAATTGGGTACACCATTGACGATATTAAGGGTATTAATCCTTCTTTCTGTATGCATAAAATTATTCTTGAGAACGATCATGCTTCCTCTATAGAACCTCAAAGAAGGCTTAATCCAAATATGATGGAGGTAGTGAAAAAAGAGGTTCTTAAATTGCTTGCTGGAGGAATAATCTACCCTATCTCAGATAGTAAGTGGGTTAGCCCTGTACAAGTAGTACCTAAGAAAGGAGGTATGACTGTTTTCAAGAAAGACAAGGGTGAGCCAGTCGCCACTAGGACTATTATAGGGTGGCGAATGTGTATTGACTATAGAAAATTAAATAAGGCCACCCGGAAGGATCATTTTCCCCTACCCTTTATTGATCAAATGCTTGAAAGGTTGGCTAAGCATTCCTTTTTATGTTATTTGGATGGATATTCTGGTTTTATCCAAATTCCTATTCGTCCTTGTGATCAGGAGAAGACTACATTCACATGTCCATATGGCACCTTTGCATATCGCAGGATGCCATTCAGATTATGCAATGCTCCAGCCACTTTTCAATGTTGTATGATGGCAATTTTTTCAGGTCTCATAGAAAATTCTATGGAAGTATTTATGGATGATTTATGGAACATCTTTCGATGTATGTCTTGAAAATCTGAAAAAGGTGCTCCATAGACGTAAGGAAGTCAATTTAATTTTAAACTGGGAAAAATGCCATTTTATGGTGTAATAAGGAATTGTCTTAGGTCATAGAGCGTTTACCCCCTCTGAATTCTGTAAAAGGAGTTCGAAGTTTCCTTGGTCATACAGGTTTTTACCGTCGCTTTATTAAGGATTTTTCAAAAATAGCTCGACCTCTAACTGAGCTTTTAGCTAAGGATGTTCCTTTTGTCTTCACTGATGCTTGTCTTGAAGCTTTTAACAGGTTGAAGGAAGCTTTGATCTCTACTTCTGTCATGCAACCCCCAGATTGGAGCCTGCCATTTGAAACCATGTGCGATGCTAGTGACTATGCGGTAAGAGCAGTTTTGGGGCAAAGAAAGGATAAAAAGCTTCATGCTATATACTATGCTAGCAAAACTCTTAGCTCTGCTAAAATGGATTATGCTACAACTGAAAAAGAGATGCTAGTTGTAATTTATGCAATTGACAAGTTTCATTCTTATTTGGTTGGTTCAAAAGTTATTATTCATACAGATCATGCAGCATTGAGATATTTGATGAGCAAAACCCATGCAAAGCCTAGGTTTATTCGGTGGATTCTTCAATTACAGGATTATGACATAGAGATTAAGGATACAAAAGGGACAGAGAATGTTTTCACAGATCATCTCTCCCGTCTTCTCCTCGACCCTGAGGATGGGGACGATATCCCTTTTGATGATTCTTTCCCTACCGAACATCTATTAGCTTTGTTGCAAACTGAATCACCTTGGTATGCTGACTTGGCTAATTTCCTTTCCACAGGTACAATGCCTCATGGCTACTCTTCTCAACAAAGGAAGAAATTCCTTTATGAGGCAAGGAGATATTTCTGGGATGATCCGTTCTTGTACAAGCAATGCGCAGACACTATGATTCGAAGATGCATTCCAGAAAACGAGGTAAATCACATTATTTCTCATTACCATGACTTACCATGTGGTGGACATGCAGGCCCTTCGAAGACAACTGCAAAGATCTTGCAATGTGGATTCTATTGGCCAACAATGTTCAAGGATACATACTCCTATGTCAAGGCATGCGACCGATGTCAACGGACGGGCAATATCTCTAAGTAGAATGAGATACCACTTAACAACATACTCGAGGTCGAGTTGTTTGATGTGTGGGGGATAGATTTCATGGGGCCGTTTCCTTCTTCCTATGGCAACCGTTACATCTTGCTAGTCGTTGACTACGTATCAAAGTGGGTGGAAGCTATAGCTACTCCAACTAACGATGCTCGAGTGGTAAGTAAATTCTTCAAGAAAACTATTTTTCCATGATTTGGTATCCCCCTTGTGTTGATTAGTGACAGGGGAACACATTTCTTAGAGCATCGGTTTGAGGCAATGCTAAAGAAGTATGGAGTACAACACCGGCTTGGAATTGGCTATCACCCTCAAACAAGTGGCCAAGTTGAAGTATCCAACCGAGAGATTAACTCTATCATTGAGAAAACAGTTGCAAGGACAAGGAAGGATTGGTCCGCAAAGATAGATGATGCACTATGGGTGTACCAAACAGCTTTCAAAACGCCAATTGGTACAACCCCATATAAACTTGTCTACGGGAAAGCATGCCACTTGCCCGTTGAGCTAGAACATCGAGCATTTTGGTCCATTAAAAGCTTGAATTTCGACGCTAAGGCAGCAGGAGAAAAGAGGTTGTTACAACTGAATGAACTAGATGAGCTCCGTCTTGAAGCTTATGAGAGTTCAAAATTATACAAGGAGAAAACAAAGAGGTGGCATGATAAGAATCTCGTGAGAAGAGAGGTCAAGGAAGGAGATCAAGTCCTTTTATTCAACTCGAGGTTAAAGCTAGTTCCTGGTAAGCTTCGGTCTAGATGGGCAGGTCCATTCAAGGTTAAGAAAGTGTATCCCTACGGCACCATTGAGCTAGGAAACGCAAAAGGGGAAACCTTCAAGGTTAATGGGCAAAGAATGAAGCATTATCGAGTTGGTGACCCTATCGATGAGGGAGTGGACATCACACTCTCCACCCCATCACAGGAAAATTGAGCATAGAGGAGGTCGAGCTTGAGACCTTATAAACAAGCGCTTTCTGGAGGCAACCCGCTTTTCATACATTTTTTTTCTTATTTTCTTTATTTCCCTTTTGTGTTTTTACATTGTGTATGTGTTGGTTTTTTTGTTTTTCAGAGAACTTCGATACTTAGGAAAAGCAAGATACCCAGAGAATTCATCAGGGGTAGCATTTGAGGTAATATGCTCGCTGCCCGGTCTGACCGGGCAATGTATGCCTGATCGGGCGCGAGTTGCGTTTGGCAAAGGAAGCTAAAGGAAGAAGGAAGTACAGAGCAGTATATTTAATTCCCACATGCCCGGTCAGACCGGGTAATGCAAGCCCGATCGGGCGCGAGAGTCATGCTGGAAGCTGTTAATTACGTGAATTTGCGAAGATGTTAGCCCCCCTCTGCCTGGTCAGACCGGGCTGTAACCAACGCGATCGGGCGCGAGGGGTACTGATCTAAAAAAAAAAAGAAGAATAAGGCTGCCAGATCGGGCGCGACAACAAGAAAGGTTATGCAAAGCTAGAACACGAGGATAAGCAAAGTGTTAAAGCAGCCCCCCTTTGCCCAATCAGACCGGGCAAGCCCTGCCTAATTGGGCGCGAGGGTAAGATGCGTACAACAAGCAGCATAAACCCGAAAATTACCCCCTTCTTCCTCATATTTTCATTCATACTCTACACTTTCTCTCTCTAAAAAACCCAATTCCTCAAACCCTAACCTCCTCCAATCTCTACAATTCTCCATCAAAACTCCAAATTTCTTCATCCTTTATCATTCTTTTTCAATTTTCAACATCCACAACCATCTTTCTCACCCCAAATTCCATTCTCACCAAAAACCCCATTTTCAAGGTTAGAGGGAGAAAGCTCCATCAACATCAATGGCTACAAGAAAGAGAAATAGGGGAGCACAACAACAACAACAACAATTGGACTTGGAAAGCATTCCCACATATCCAAACATCCGTTTCGTGCCCGAGTTTCCAAACCAAGAAGCACGGTTGCTTGAGCTCCAACATAGGAAGGTAATTCCTACTCGGTTCATAGACCGATCCCTTCTTGCTAAGCTAGGCATTGATATTGAATGTAGGAACTTATTTTCTAGACTTGGTATGACTCAATTGTTTAACATGATACATTATACGTTTGAGGATATCACTCTTGAATTTTTAAGCTCTTTTGATGTTGTGAAGGGTAGAGATGGTTTAGTTACCCATGTCCTATATAGACTCATGAATAAGTCTCTCCGCCTCACCTTAGAGGGCTTTGGTAGGAAGTTTGGCCTCCCCTCCACGGGATTAACCGTGCAACCCGATAGCTTTACCTCGGGGGAATTATGGTTAGCAATGACGGGTGAAAATATTGACTCAATGCCACATGCCCGTGCTCACAAAATCCACCAACCATCCCTTAGGATATGGACTAGATCCTCGAGGTGGACAATTTTTGGGAGGATTGAGCCAAACAATGTTAGGGCGGACGAAATAGCCATTCTAGGTAGCTACCTTAGATTGGGAGATGATGAAGAGGGGTTTAGAATGAACATAGCTCATCTATTTGCCCTCCACCTTAGGAAAAAAGGGGATACCTTTACCACCCTCAAACCCAATGGCGGTCTTACTAACATCCCAATTGTCCTAGGTGGTTTAGTGACTCACCTAGCAGTTAAGGAGGGCTTTGTAGAAGCCCAATACCGACCTGTGTCGGGTCCTATTACTTTGGACCAGCACTACCTCACCACCACCGTCTGGTTGTCGGTGGAGTACGGTAGCTATAGCTGGCTGTTAGATAGGAGCACTAGGCGGTCCATTACCTTACCTGCTCCTGAGCTTACTAGGATCCACCCCCACCAGCCTTCCTACCTTCTCGAGGCCCTTGGCGGTCCACCTCCTCCTGCTGCACCTACTAGGACCTATCATAAGAGAGAGCAGGGCAGCCAATCCTCATCCTCCACCGCTCCCCATATCCCTACCAACCGTGAGTC